CCCTGTCCGATAACCAATGCAGCATTATTCAACGCTCAGGGAGACAACAAAGACATTGTTCCGAGCCTGGGTAATTATCGGGTATTGGCTTGGTATTTAGCAGCTGATTAGAGAATAACGACTTTTGCTTCGAGGATGTTTAAAAAAAATAAATTCCTTTTCTGTTTCAGATATAAAATGCTATTTCAATAAAAATAACTAAAACTATTTATAATACTCATTTCCGAATGTCATTACGGATCAATAATAAAATATTTAATTTTGTCTACTGTGAATAATAAAATGAAAACAATATGTCTTGGACTATTTTGGTTATTTTTTTACCTTTTGAAATTTAAAAGGAGACTCCCTTGTTTTCAGTATGGTAATGCGTAAAAAAAATACCTATTTATTTAGTTTTACTAAAAATTGCAGTGGAAAATTATTTATCAAATATAAATAAATGTCTTTCCATATATACTTACTTATATTCCACTTACCAGTAAAAATAAATAGTTTAAATCAATTAACTCGCTTAAAACCAAATCGTTCTTGAAACTAGAATGTTATTCAAAGTTGCTGATAAAGTTGTTGTATGAAATTATATCTTAATACTAAAATCCTAATTTCTTATCATGGAGAACGTATCAAAGACTGCCTAAATAATTAAATAACAGCTTTATTAATCGATATTGTATTCTACGTAAGCAGTAAATTGAAACATTTCAGACTATTGATCTCTAGTTGAAAGAGAGTGTTATTGAAAAAATATAGTTCGATTATGCAGCTATTTACAAACACCCAACTTGTCACAATATAGTTCATCATCGTCACAAGATATGAAAATCAAGTAACTCACGTCGCAAATCACAACCTCAACATCAACACTCTGACACAGGTCGCTCAGGGAGTTGGCTCGCTTGATCTGAGCATTGCAGCTCCGAGTTGTATAAATATGTCTTCCTCAGGGACATGAATGTTACAATATGCATCATAGATTGCTAAGAGGGTTCAGCGAAAACCTTTTTGAAAATGTAAGCTTCTTCTCTTATATAGAGGATGAAACTAACAACAATAGTAAATAGAAAAATAATAGTATTTCCCAATTTATAATATTATTGTATGGATACATGAAACATGAAGATGTACAGAGTCTTTTATTATAAGGAAAGTGCTTATTAATTAAAAAAAAGGTATCACTGTTAAAATTATCAAAATGAATAATCAAAAGTAACTATAGGATATTAAGTTATAACATGTATTTAAAAACACACAAATTGTTCATAATCGGCACACACTAGTGGGTACTAAAACAACGTTTAGATTTGAGTCAATCTATTTTTATTTAATTTTTTGGTCTGAACAAGAATTTATTTACAACCATTTTTTTTACTAATGTTAAAATGTTCAATTTTTCTTCTTGAAAACTTTTGAGCCAAACTTAAGACGTGAGTCTAACTATCTAAAAAACAAGAATATAGATCTCGAAAGCGATATGAACTTCTCTTTCATCAAAATCATACAAAGTTAAAATATTGTTACTCTGCTTACATAATAATTTTTGAAAATATGGATTGCAATTCCTTTTTGAAGGCCCTATCACTAAACAAAGTGAAAATACTCTAATGAAATTAAAAATAATGGCCATAGTTTAGAGAGAAAGTAATATAAAAACCCTCGTACATCAGTTGATGTCCAAAAAATGTACAGGAAAAAACTTCATTCAAATTTTGAGAATTTTACTGCAAATAGATTCCAATTAGAAAATTGTGTATGCAAAGAAAAATTTAAGTTATGCAATTTTTTGTTTTTAAATAATTCTGTTTTCATAAAAAACTTCATATAAATACATAGGCTATATAAATACATAGGCCTACAAATATAAAAGCTATCTTCAAATCCAACTGCCCAAAACAATTTTATCAAACTCGCCGAGTATTAGAGAAAGAACATAAAACGATAGCAATTTATAAAAGGAAATAGGCTCTTTGAAGAGAAGAAATCTAATAGTAATCTAATAGCGTAGAAAAGCTATTCCATGCTATCTGTTCTATCAGGAAATGATATTATTGGTTCATATAATATCGAAACAGGTAATTCCACAAAGCTGTTCTCGGTTGACGATATTGCGGCAGTAAAAGCACCGCCCCAGCAAGCGTCCGATAAATTCCACCGGCTTTGTATCAAAATACCCTAATCAGATTATTTAAATTTCTCTCATATCTTCCTTTTACTTAAGAATGCTGGTATTCTAGCCCCGCTTAAATATTTTCTCAGGAAAATTATTAAGATGTTGTGAATTTTGTTCTTTTAGTTATTTTCGCGAAGGTTTTATCAGTAAATAACAAAATTTATTTATTTAGTATTAAACTGTACATATATCCGTTTATTTTAGGATTTAGGAGCAAAAGTAATTGCCTATATAGTAGTTAAACTTGAAGATTATATTTTTTTTAAAGTTAATAGTTTGACAAAAGGTGCCACTATCGACTTTTTTATTTGAAATCATGGTGAATTCAAATTTATTTTTTAATAACGCAACCTGTATGATTATTTGTATGTTACGCACAACTTTCTCGCGTATTCTGAAATCAGAAATTTCTGAAATAAATTAAATTTTATGGGGGATGAATTACTTTTGACTGAAAGTAACTTAAATTTTGCATACATTCAACACTACACCTTGATAGATTAAGGCCATTCTTACATTTTTTTATATAAATCACTGTTACACGTAAATTGTACTACTGCTTTCCAATTAATACAAAAATCCATTACGGTTCTTTTGTCTTGCACAGACAACCAAAAAGCGGATATTTGATTCGTTATTATTCATAGTTAGATTATAGTGGACTAAATAAATCAAAATTCATACATCATATGATACTCGTGTACAATTAAATGGTATACCTCTCTGTATTTGAAACCACCCTCAATTATTGAATCACTGTTTAGCAAATAATTCATGTTTAATACTTGAACCTTAAATTAACTTACTTTCAACTGTTAAGTAAATATTTCAAACAAAAATAACATTTAGTGTTTAATTCACGAGGTGAGTTTGCCAGTTGGAGCCTAGAGCCGATATCGATCTCCAAAGTGGCACCCAGGCCAGCGCCGGAAACCGGCCCATTTCCGTCAGTCTGGTGATATAAAGTCACCCGGCTTATTCTGCCAGCTTCCCGCCCGCCACCGTCTTTTAATCAAAAGAAATGTTTGGATTTCTTTCCCGAAGCAATGAAATTCTGTGACGAAATGGAAATGGCGTTTTTTAGTGAAGATTTGTGTATTTAGTCAACAATATTTAGTGTTTCGCAAGGGAAGGTTTTGTTAGGGACTGTTATAGGTCCTGTTAAAAGATCTTTAGAAATCCTTTTACCAACACTTTAATTGCCCAATAGCATACTACATCTTGAAAAACACGTTCTGCTTAAGTGGTTAATACAAAATAAAATGAATATGTCTTTGGTTAATAATTTTATTTTCTGCCATATATATTGAAATAGAAAGATCATACATTTTTATAAATCGTCGAATATAAATAACTCGAAATCTCTTTTAGAACTTTAATTGTCTTAGCATTTTTAACATTAATAATAGTTAACATTTTTTACATAATTAACAAATTAACAAATTAACATTTTTTAATAATAGTTGGCCAAGAACGATTAATGGGATTGCAATAGTTTGTTAATTGATTCTTACTGATAAAAGGAATCTATAAGGCTCATAAACATAAACTCCTTTAATATAACTAAGATACTGAGGTAAATAACTAATGTAATCTGGTATCGTTAAATGATATCTTGCTCATTAAATGATATAGGATACATAACCAATGTTCCAAGTGGTTTAGCCAGCCTAATATGAAATCAAGCTATAAACTTTAAACAAACAAAAAAGTTACTGTGCCGAACAAATTAGGATTCATCATAAACTATCTGTCAAAAGTATCCATTTGGTTAAAAACCAAAATCTAATCAATGGGAAGGCAGAGTCCGTATCAAAGTAGACCTCTTACATTGAATATAAATTATTCTATTTATTTTTTAGTGTTAGGTTTCTTAGCTCATTGCCAAATCAGAAGTATGCTTTTTGTGTTTTAGTTTGAGTGTGAATAAGACATTTTACAGCCTAGTACCATAGGGTATTTATAGGAATGATCTTTGGATGCGAAACTCCCTGTGGTCAGGATTAACGTCTGCACTAGTGAGTACTACGACTATCCGCAGTACTATCCTGATAATTAGACAACCATTTTAACAATGAAGCTTAGTAATGTACCATATAATACCATATACCATATACATACCATATAATGTATTTGACGATTGAGATGTACATTGTATTTGTACCCAATTCATGAATAAAATATGTCTATGTCTATGTCTATGTCTAATGTTATTTTTTCAGAGTTGCTTTAAAGTGTAACATTTATTGATGTCGGTGATCCCATCTTTTGAGCTGTTTTTATATGTATATGTGGTCTTTGACCTAGGGATGAATTGTTTCATAGTTAAATAAGTGTGTGAGTTAGTTAATTTAAGTTATTCTTAAGTTACTCTGTATATAAGCTTGTAAATCAATATGTAACAATAATGATTTTCTGATTTTCTTTCTGAATTAGACCTATTTGTAAATTAGAAGTCAAAGATGTGGTTCGGATTCCAATATAAACTATAAGTCCCTTATTTGGCATTGTCAGTACGGGCTATTAACAGTCCTGTCTAAGGAATAAGTCGGCCTTAGTAACAAGACTACAAGATCACGTCACTTATCCTACACTCATCTCCATTCATAATTGGTTTAAAATACCTGCCTTCGTTTTTTGTTGGTGCCATTTCAGTTAAAAGTTTTATAACAGTATCAAAGGTATATAATTGTTCAGAAACACAACAAAAACGCTGTCCCCTCGATTAGGATGATTAATGAATGAGAGCGTGTCCTTAATTACTGGCCTAGCTTTCATTCACTTATAACCGTGCAATGTTACAATAGGCTACAATAGTGCTAAACCTCACCTCCCCCGGGAATGTGTAGCCGTGGATGCGGTGCTCCGAGCCGTGCTGGTTCTGGATGCCGTAGTGGAAGAAGAACTCCTCGAACTGGTAGCGATAGGCCAGAGGTCCTCCGGAGATGTTGACGTGTTGCTTACTGTCTCTGTCTACACGGAACACGAGCGACTGGCCTGTGTTGATCAGCGTACCACTTATCTGTAATGACATCCGATAAAATAAGTTGAAATGTTTGTGAAAGTGGACTACAGGATAAATTATACTTAATGTTATCAACTTATTTTGTTTAGTGAGTCGGTTCGGTGGCTCAGTTGGTAGCGTCACGGACTTCGGACCCAAGGCAGCGATGTCGTGGGTTCAGATACTGGTCACTGCCGTAAACATTTTATCAGTACAGTTCACCTTTGTACCGGCTCACCCCTTGCATTGCTGGATACGTTCCACGCACGGGCAGTTAGTCTATGTGGACGGGCAAATGCAAGGTTAAAAAAAAGAAAAAAATTACAATAAAACTTTTAAAGGTTATAATAAAAAAAGGTTTTTTGGAGGAGTATCAAATCAAATATATCATTCAACTTTACTTTCTTACGCTAACTTAACTTCTGTCTCACTGTCGAGTGTGACTAAACAAAGGATAAATATATTAATACGTATTTAATTAAAGTTGGCATGATAAATCTACCAATAAAGATTTTTAATTTACAGTTTTCTTACAGTTTTGTTTTTAGATCCGACCAACTTTTTGAACATATAAAGGACTAGCTGTAACCCGCGGGCTTTGCCCCGTTTAACTTCTTAATTTTCAAGATTATCTCGTTCGCATGGCTCAATCACGTCCTGGTTGAAGTTTGTTCGCTACGCTCACTCACCTTTGGGTTGGAGCTCGTTCGCTACGCTCACTCACCGTTAGGTTGGAGCTCGTTCGCTGCGCTCACTTGCCTTCAGGTTAGCTCGTTCGCTACGCTAACTCGCCTCCAGGTTGAAGTTCGTTCGCTACGCTCACTCACCTTTTGGTTGCAAATTAGCTGTTGTCATAAATGTAAAAGAAATAATAGTGCTGCACTCTGTTGGTAATCCTTGTAACTTTAATGCTATTGGACATCACAGAACAGAACCAACTTGTTTAATTGAAACAGCTGTTAAGATTCAATAATTCCATTTCTCATAAGGTTAACATGGGAAACTCCAGAGCCACTGGGGCGGAGCCCGAAAGGATTTTTGAAATAAGAATATGCCTATATGTTAATCGGGAATGTGAGCTATCATCATGCCAAATTTCAGCCCAATCCGACCAGTATTTTTCGCGTTCACTTGTCACAAACATACATCCATACATCCATACATCCATACATCTAAACTTTCTCATTTATAATATTAGTAGGACTAGCTGTAACCCGCGGGCTTTGCCCCGTTTAACTTCTTAATTTTCAAGATTATCTCGTTCGCATGGCTCAATCACGTCCTGGTTGAAGTTTGTTCGCTACGCTCACTCACCTTTGGGTTGGAGCTCGTTCGCTACGCTCACTCACCGTTAGGTTGGAGCTCGTTCGCTGCGCTCACTTGCCTTCAGGTTAGCTCGTTCGCTACGCTAACTCGCCTCCAGGTTGAAGTTCGTTCGCTACGCTCACTCACCTTTTGGTTGCAAATTAGCTGTTGTCATAAATGTAAAAGAAATAATAGTGCTGCACTCTGTTGGTAATCCTTGTAACTTTAATGCTATTGGACATCACAGAACAGAACCAACTTGTTTAATTGAAACAGCTGTTAAGATTCAATAATTCCATTTCTCATAAGGTTAACATGGGAAACTCCAGAGCCACTGGGGCGGAGCCCGAAAGGATTTTTGAAATAAGAATATGCCTATATGTTAATCGGGAATGTGAGCTATCATCATGCCAAATTTCAGCCCAATCCGACCAGTATTTTTCGCGTTCACTTGTCACAAACATACATCCATACATCCATACATCCATACATCTAAACTTTCTCATTTATAATATTAGTAGGAAGTAGGATTTGAATAGCATATGCTATTCCTTTTTATCAAGAAGACATGAGATTATTTAAAAATAATGTATTAGTTGTAATTGATTTATTATTGAAAGAAGATAATTTAATTAAAATCACCATTTGAATTAAAATAACTATGTCGACGGGAAAATGTAGGGTTAAAAGAGGCCGCAAAATAACTTAGATTTTATTCAAATAAAGTTCTATTGTAATTTGACTCTTTTATTAATTTGGTATGGTGTATTGATGGATACTTAAAAGCTCTTTAATACTAAATAATCTAAGGATAATCATTATTTTTACCTTATAAACAAACTGTAACAAATAATATACACTACTTAGAATCGATAGCCTACGTGAAAGAGTTTATTTTTATTCTATTACGAAACCTTTTGTAAACAAATAACAAAGAAATTAACGAAAATTTCACTGAGTACCGAGAATCGTGAAATTATCCATACTTTTGCATGATGCGCTCAAACCAATCAATCAATAACAAATAATCCTGAACACAAGCGTGTGTACGGACAAACTTTTATTTTCGTCCGAGGATTTTTAATTATTTGTTAAATATGTGGTATTTGGCTACGAAAATTCGATTGGACTCACAAGGAAGGGAAAAATCCTGTTTCCGCCCTACAGCCCTTTAAAGTGCCTATGTTATCGTCAACATATTATGTAGCTGCAGTTAATAAAAACAGCTGATACTCATCTATTTATAAAGATGTATTAAAATGCCTTCTTTGTATCATCTAAAATGTGTTCATATTGAATGCAATGCATAATAAATATCTTTAATTTAGCTCATTGACTTAAGTCTTAAGACTTAACTACAACAAACATTATATTATTTCTATAAACTATTATAGTCTATTATACTATTTCTATAGTGGTCAAATAGTTATCAAAACAATCTGTTATATCTCCTTCCCTGTTAATATTATGAATATTTATTTTCACTAATTATTTATCATATGGTTTTATTTTTGTTGTTGTCATAGTGTAATATGAATTTTGAAAATAGAAGTGTGAAATTAAAAAGATTAGTTTTTTTTCTTCTTTCCACTTGAAGAAGAGGTAGGTGTGTAGTATAAATTAACACAATCTATAACTAAAGCAGTAATTTAAAAGACTAACTGTATCTTTGGTTAATTCATCATTTTGTGATAATAGTAAGTGACTTAGACAATAAATTTACATTTTGCCCTAATTTATCTTAGGAGTTGATGGAGGGTCACCACACATCGTCTACCTTGTGTTTGTCGATGTCCAAGTGTCTGAGATGAGGATCAAACAACAGCTTGTGAGGTTCCACATTGATGGGTGATTGTCGTCTTCCTTTGTTGCACAAACTCCACTCAGGGTTGATACGCCCCCAATATTCTGGTCCTGAAACACAAGTACGTAACCTTTAAAGAAGCCCAGCGTACACGCGTCCTTTAATCACTTCAGGGTGGCTGAAGATTTACTACTTATGACTATATTAACAATAAATTTAATTAAACATTGTCATGACTTTTTATGGTGTTAGAGAACAAATAAAAGTGTACATTTAAACAATGAATACTCCCATTTATGATGGAACATGTTAAACCTCGACATATGTATTTGCATTTATAACATATTTTTCTTAATCCAAAAGATACATTATGAATAGATTTTGGAATAATGTCTTTTTGTAAAATTACCAAGAATATCTAAAATGGAAACTTTCAATTCATATAGAGTCTTTGGAATCCTTCCGTAAACCTCTTCTCTTCTCTTGCCCATACCCACGTAAAGATACAGGTCGTAAAGTCTGGGATACGCGCAGACTAGTGGTATGGACTATCTCATAAAATTTATTTACATGTAGCCAACAAACACAAATGAATGTTACATTTAGCCAATCTCGATTTTTTTTTTTTTATGCCACTTTCAAACAGTTAATTATGACAATTTCGTATTGTTTTTGCATTAAGAGAGGCCTCTCCACCACCTCTGGACCTGCGCAATAGACTGCTACACTTCATATTGTGAGGCAATTTTTGTCCTTTCCTCAATACTCAAAACACCAGCCACAATAGCAAACTTGGAACCTTCGATCAGTTTAAAATATGAACTGTCATCAATGGCATCGAATTAGCTTCAAGCAGTTGAGAATATGGGCCATAAACCTATATGGTGTTTTGGTGATGAACATTTAAAATTAGGTACATACTTTTCAGCCACCATGTATATCAAGTGGTTTAAATGTAATACGTATGACATTTTGCAAATTTCATAAACGTTTCCAAAATAATGTGTTAAAAAAAATATCTGCGGTCATTGAGCATCACTGCTAAAACATTCGGCAATTTTAATTGTGAGTTACACAATGAGTGTAAATATTTTTTACACATTAGCTTAAAAATAAGTTTAATCCCTTATTTATGGACCAATTTTCTTAAATTTGGCTCAGTTAGAATTTTAATATTTTTTTTAAAATAGAAAACTGCTACTGTAGTTTTGTTTACATAGGCAGCTTTCTATGCTATACAAGTTTTAGATTTTGAACCGCTCCCATTTTACAAATAAACATGATTAAAAATGATATTTATTAAATAAAATGGTTTATATTAGCTGTCCGTCAGTGATCCTATTGTTGTCTTCACTGACGTACAGGTAATATAAACAATTTCATTCAATAAATGATCCTGGGCCACTAAGCACAATGATATTTATTCTCAAAACAGGGCTTACAGTTATTGTATTATGTATCAAATTTCAATTTTTTTTATTTATGTTTGTCTTTTGTCCAGGAAAGATACCTACACGTGCACACTCTTTATATTTCTCATTATCTCATATTATATCAGAATATCATAGAAGTGCATATAAACTGGATCAACAAAAATTATCAGTTGTTTATAGCTTCCACTAGTACCATACTTTCACGGACCTTTTTCAACAGTAAACTGTTAGACTGTATCTAACTTAACCTTTAAAATTAATTCCATAATGCGAAATAAATCAATGTAACAATGTAAATAAATGTCCAGACCAAAATAAAATACCGGTCCCATATATTAAAAAATATTATGGCCAATGCCAAGATAAAGGAAACTCCTTCAATATTGTGTGATATGTTCCAGACTGGGTTCAAAAACAATAACAAATGCGAATCAGAGAATACATCGTCTGAGTGTTGAGTCAGCAAAATATCGCAGCTCGATTGTATACAATCACATCAGTTCTGATGGCAAGAGCCAATAAACCAGATTGTGAGTGGACCTTCACGCCTGGTGGAATTCTCTCACTCCCTTCCTAACGGCTTTAGATTGTGCGCTAAATCTCAATCCCGTCAATAAGGAAATACTCGGAGAACCTAACGTATTCCAAATTTATTTAGGATAGCATTGTTATCTGGGATTTATTTAGAAAGAAGGTTTAACTAAGAAATCCGTTAGCCAAAATTAGTACAACTGTTAGCTGTTTTATTTTTTAATACTACGGAGCCAGTACTCTTTGCTTCTTCTTTGCTAAATATTAAGTTTTAGAAGTGTATACGATGTTGATGATTCTCTTCCAACTTCTTAACACAATTAATTATTATTCTTGGCAGAATAAGCTGTTTTTAATTTTAGTTAAGGAATGGACGATAACAAATACATGATTAACTTGTGAAATACAAGAGTAAAGGTGGTAAATACGTTCAGCAGTCAACCTAGTTGTCTCGGGAATCAGGGAATTTTTGGTCATCCAAAATACAATTTAAAAAGTAGTCTTGATAAATTAAGTACAATTATAAAATAGGCATTAAAATGTATACTCGTTTACATCGCAAGAAGCGTGAACGAAATTTATGATTTCAACATGGAACGGAAAATTACTTGTGAATATTAGGGTATTGTTATTGAAGATACAATAACTTTTTCGGTAATATAACACATACAAGAAGTAAAATTCATACAAAATCGACTGGGGTAGTTGTATTCATTCGACGACTTAATTTGTATTTCTAGTTTATCTAGGTGACCTCTCATTTCCTTCAATCCGAAATCAGCTTAGAATCGTTAATAAATAATCAAAAATTTCAGATTATTAATTTCAAATCATAGTTATTCTTTTTTTTATGTTGCTTAAAATTGTGGTTTTTTCGATTACTGCATTAATTACTTAAATTTACATGCAACCATCTGAGTTACACTATAACAAGGTTTTGTAACTAAAAGTTTTAAGGTGTATTTTGATTTGATATTTTATTCAAACATTTAAACAGCTGATTGATACGTATGCAAAAGTCTTAGACAGAATCGTTGTAGGTTAGACGTATAGAGTAATCTGTAATTTACAGTTCTCACACGAGCTTATCAAACAGCTGACAGAAACTGTTCTCATGTAATTACTTATCAATCTCTGTACAAGAGTGAGCGCGCCTCAAGCAATAAACTTACATGCAGAAGACCAAACTTAAAATTCATTTCTCCCAAAAATAGTAAAATGTTTACTAGGTTTCGTAGGTTTAGTCAATACTTTATCTTGAATATCTTGAATATTTATCTTGAATTTTAATGGAACAAGGTCAAAGAACACATGTTTGAACAACGGAATTACTAAACAATCATTCTGTTCTGTTTGGTGAGTCGATGGGCTTTGGTCCCGAGGCGTTGCTATCGTGTGTTTGGACCTTGGTACCTGCCACTATATTATATCAGTATTGTTTAACTCTGTGTGCCTACTGTCGCAGCTCACCACTTTTCATACGATCCACGCAAAGGTATGAGGCATATGTGGAGGGGCAAATGCAAGGTTAAAAGAGACCGCCAACATCGTTATTAAAAATAAAAAGGGAATAAGTGAATTTAAATGTAATCGACACGTAATAGTTATATGTGAAACTAGTGTGCGAAGTGGAACTTTGCAGCACATCAGAGAAATGTTTACGCACGAGCCGCAGCCGAGTGTGAAAAGTTTCTTGAGTGCAGCAAAGGCAATAAGAACTCGTGTTACACATATTTGATTTTTTTTTTAAGAGGTTGGCGGCCTCATTTAACCTTGCATTCGCCTGTTCACATAGACTAAGCGCCCGTGCGTGGATCGTATACAGCAAAGCAAGGAGTGAGCCGATACAGTACAAAGGTGAACTGTACTGATAAAATGTTTACGGCAGTGACCAGGAACCGAACCCACGACATCGCTGCCTTGAGCCCGAAATCCGTGACGCCATCGACTCACCTACATATACATTCTTCCTACAGTTATTATAAAGCATCTATATATACATACTAGCTGTACCCGCGGGCTTTGCCCCGCTTAACTTCATAAGTATTCGCATGGCTCAATCACGTCCTGGTTGAAGTTCGTTCGCTACGCTCACTCACCTTCAGGTTGGAAATCGTTCGCTGCGCTCACTTGTTTTCAGGTTAGCTCGTTCGCTACGCTTACTCGCCTCCAGGTTGATGTTCGTTCGCTACGCTCACTCACCATTTGGTTGCAAATTAACTGTTGTAATAAATTGAAAAAAAGTCATCTCTTTTATTGTTCATAATACTTTGATAAAGATTTTTATGTTTTAATATTTAACATTGGAGAATGTAAACGTTGTTGAGTGCACAGGTGTGCTGCGATTGGGGTTTAATACATTTGGACTTATTAAAAAGTAAAATAGTTTTCTGTGCTGCACTCTGTAGAAACACTGTGGCACTATTTCAAATCATGACTAATGCTAATACAGAATGTTGTGATTATTCAAACCTACAAAACAGTTGGTGAAAGTAAACATCTGCTTTTAAATTATATTCATTTGTAAACATTGTGGATCAAAAAGTCTGACATTGGCCCACTTAAAACCCTCTATGGCAGAGCCCTTTTGACGGATCTGCACCAAACTTCACTCGAACCATCCTTGAAAGATGCTTAACAATGCCTGAAAGTTTTATTACAATCTGTCTAGCGGTTTCGGAGTCCATAACGTATATACACACATACACACACACATACATACATACATAGTTCCTCTTTTATAGATATTATCTATACTTATTTAATACGCAAGCAGGATTTTTGTGACAATTACTCCTCTGAAACTACTGAACCGATCGACATGTTTTTGGTGTCATTGGAAAGAGCGTAACGTGAAGTTGTGCAGGAAACTTTCTTTTTAGGGAAATAATTAGAGAGTGAGGCCCTGGGGCCCTTTAAAGTTTCATATTTCTCCATAAGGAAAACATGGGAGATGATTTTTATTTACAGAAACATATGTTTGTTACTTGAAAATAGACAAAGTCTACCACATAATAATTGCTGTGTATTATAACTGTTAATGTATAACTACATTTCAATCATCAAGGATTGTGTACCTTAAAGTTTACCCATAATGGATCTTACTAATTTATTTTAATGCTGGGAATAGTAAAATTTAGTTGAGA